ATATGTACTTGATTTATGATTTTGCAGACTAATGTTTAGCTTCCCGATGTGATTAACTCTCTTTCTTAAGTTGGACTTTGCACGAGGCTGAAAGCATCACATATAGAGTCTCTTGTTTGACATCCAAAACTGAGTGTTACAATATTAGGTCAAGGTCAAAGTTGAGGGTGATGACGCAGCAATTCATCAGGTGCAGGTTCATGATCATCAGGGTGCACTGCACATCAGCCGATCGCCCTCACAGCAGCAGCTTCTAGAACGATCCTCCTTGGATTGTGGCCCCAAAACTTGGAGACTTTTTGATGCTGCCAACTGTAATCGACCTGCAAGAGAGAGGTACTGGGAAGGATGATTAATCCAGCTCATCAATCCGAACTGTACATACATCAATACCGTCAATTTATGATTATTAACTTGTAAATAGGCAAATCATAGCCATTAGATGTGTGTTAGTTCAGTGACAGTAAATAATGGTGTTTAGTTGTGAAGGAGGATTGTTCAGCTGTATATATAGAGGTCAAAACAGAAAGAAATGTATATAGATACGTGAAGAACTTTCATAATACAATTAGAGTGAAAAACTTCTTCTTCAAGATATATCAAACCCTAGCATTAAATACTGCAGGAATTTTTCCTTCTCTACATTCTGATTTAGTCGTTTTGTGATGATTGGTACTGATTTGTATGACTGAGCACGTAATCTCTTTCTCCATTAACCCACTCAAACAGCTGTAAATGTTGTAGTAATCTTTCGTGAACTCATGATTCAAGGACATCAATAGGCGCCAATTCCCTCCTCATCCTCTCGAACGTCTTCTGTTTTGAAAACAGGACCGGACCAACGAGCAAACCAGTTCGACCGGGAATCGGAGGTCTTTCCAGTCCGGTTATTTTAAATAACCGGTTGACTTAAATACCGGTCAAACACGGTCAAACTCTAGTAAAACCACGGTTCGACCGGGAATCAGTACTAGTTGAACAGGTTTATTGAAATTTTAGAAAAAATTAATAAATCAGTAACCCAGCTAACTTGCCAGTTCACTTTCCAGTCTGGTTTTCAAAAGATAACAAACATTTTTCTTGTACAATTCAATAAACTATCAAATTGCTCCAAACTATGAAAGCAACGCAGAATCAAGCTTTAATAATATCCATGATGCATTGATCGTGTCAATTCGTTTACCTACATCTAGTATCCCTCTTCTCACACTATTAACCAACTAAATCCTTCTTTTACATCAGCTCAAACTTATCCAGTTTCCTTCAGCGCGATGAAAATGTGTTCACCTTTTTTCTTTCTTGGCAATTCTTTGGTATAATAAAAAGAAAATGCCAAATTCTAACTACAAAAGGTAACTGGACCTCACATGTTTTCTTTACTCAAGACAGTTACTTTTGCACTAACTACATTAGATTTTAGGGTAAATGTCAAAAACACCTCTCGAGGTATGCTCGATTATCAACTACACCCTTAGCTTTTGAGAAAATATCAAGAATGAGAATGCAAATTGACACAATATCAAGTACAAGATTTGAGAATGCAAATTGACCAATTATACCTTTAAAAAAATGAGTGTGCAACGCATTTGGCAAATTCACACAAAACGGAGTAATGATAAAATAACATTGATCCACTCACTCGAATTTATTTGACACATTGAGGTTGGCAAAGAGCGCTCGCTCTCTCTCTCTCTCACACACACACACACACACATTACAATTAAGGGATTTTTCATTCTCAGAAAAGGGTGTGATGGAGGAGCTCTTTTCCCCTTCCAGCAGCTATTTTAAAATAGGTCTTAAGCCATGTCAAAGAAGAAGAAAGACTAGTGGCGGTGATGTGATTCCGGTGAGGAGGGGGAAGTCGGTGGTGTTGGGAAGCTGCGGAGGCTGAGGGGTTTAGCGAAGAGTCACGGGTGGGGTATAAAACACTGACCCAAGTTGGATTTTATGATGGTTATATCAATTTTGATCTCACCATTGTACTTATATAGTTATACTAAACGGTATATAAAAGTGTCATAGAGCATTGATGCCATTGCCACTTAAATGTTTACTATTACACATTGGTGGCATAAACCCATTCCCCCATAATCAAGTTTTCAATTTTCTTCCATAATCGCTTCAACAACGAAACAAGGTTCTGCGATTTCTGGTGATCATCCCTGATTTAGTCTAACTTTAAACATTCTTCTTGAATATTACTTAACCTGATGAAAGTTCTTTTTAGAAATATATACTCTGTACTTAACCTGATGAAAGTTCCTTGCTCATGATAATCAAGGTTCTTTTCCACTTTGTTCTCTGGTCTGCATTGCCTCTAGTATTTGCTTCAAGCAAACAAGTTTCTTAGATTTCTGGTGATTATTTGTGATTAATCATAATTCAAACTTTCTTCTTGAATAGCAGTTCTTTTTCTAATATATTTTGCACTCAGCGCTAATTCTTTCTTGATCATCAAGGTTGGTTCTTTCTGTCCACGCTGGTTCCTTCTTGATCACCAAGGCCGTTTTTTTCTGTGCATTTCGATTGTTTTGCGTCAACATCATCGACATGTTTTGTGCTTTTTTAGCCTAAAGTAAGGATAATGCAGTTGACATGAAGGTATTTCGTCAATTCTGAAATGGGTTTTTTCCTTTTTTTCCTATAGATTTGGAGAAGTTTTCAGATTGGAAAGAATCAAAGGGAGAGCTTTCAATTATGGTATGTTCCTATTTTGGCTTCCCGAAAACACACCACACACACACACAAAACTCATTTTTCCCATCAGTCATCCTTAACACTTTTTCCATTTTATCATTGGGCTTTTTTTTCTTTTTTTTTTTGTAGGAAGATCGTTCTTACAAAGTAAATGATGCATTCCCCCCTTCTAGGAAAGCTGATAATTGTCAGATGGAAAAAAAAAAAAAAACCAATTTTGTTTATTTGATTTTTTTATTTTTTAAATTTTTTGTAATTTTTTGGCCTTTTAAGTTTAAACCTATGTTTTTGGATATCAGAATGCACATTTCCGGTGGGACTTCCGCCTTGGAAGGCATCCGAATAATCTGATGAAATACAAGTCGAAACCTTGTGGTTATGTAAAGAGAGCACGAAAATGCCCGTATGGCCAAGATGTTGGGTGAGTATAATTGCCCTATTGTGTATCATGTCTAGTACTAACTAATGGATTTTTATTGAGAAGAAACACTTTATCAACAACCAAAATTATGGAGTTCAGATAACCACCTATTGTAAAATATTAGTTTTCTTCTATGAACATCAATTGTTTTCTATTACATTCTACTCAACGCACACTGATGACACAATTCTCAATGATTCAATTTGTTCCTCATTCATTCTGGGCACTGACACTAGTAACAACTTCAACAAATTTTTGGATGTTGGGTGATCTTTCTCTACTAATCAAACAGTTTTCTGTTTTGAATATTAGTCTTTTTCAAATCTATTTAAAACTCAAAGTTGATGATGAAATATTCTTCTCAATAATCAAGTCGAGGTCTTATCTATTATGTGCACTGGTATCAACTTCAACGGATAAGGTTCTTGGAATTTCTGCAATCATTCTCGACGACATGATTACCTTTTAATTAATCTCTTACTTTGAATATCAGTTTTTCCTAACATGTTTTGTATATTTCTTAACTAATATACAGGTACCTTTTCGGAAAAAAAAAAAAAAAACATGTTTTGTACTTAAACATTAATGAAATGGTTTTCTTGATTATCAAAATGGTTTTTTCCTTTATTATGTGATTTTTTTTCTCAGGTTTGATTCTTTAGCAACATTATATGTTGATGGTTAGTATTGTTCTTTGTGAATTCCATTTTGATAATCCGATTTGTTGTAGATTGATAAAACTTTGTAAATCTCTTGTTTCATTTCTTAATAGATAAAAAGTATATTATGACAAAGGTGGATGAAATGCAACCGAGGAATGCTGATGTTACATCTTAAATGGAATCGCTCATGTTGATTTGCATAAGGCCACAATTTACAGCATGGAATCTCTCAATTGCCTTTTCATAATGGATTAATTACACAATAGCTTTAACATTGACTTCCTTTTCAGTTTACTTTTGTTCTTCCATTTAACTCAAAATTATTGTTCTGTTGTGTGTTAAAATGTAAAATGCCATTGTTGTTCTTCTCTGATGAAATTGGACTATCGCCCAAATTTATAATCAACAAAATTTCGTTCCGAAAGGACAGACCCAAAAAGAAACTAGTGCAGCAAACTACTCTATTTGTTTCGAGATTGAATAAGACCCTTTTTTTTTTTAATAGAAGATGAATACTGCATTGCTCCAACTTGTAACGCTTATCCTTTTTCTTTCCTGCTGACAAGAATTATTATTTTGCAGAGGAAAAAACCCTCAACTATGTTGCTATTCGGAAAAATACTCCTTAAACATCTAATTTCCCCCATCAAATAAGCTTTAATTGTTTGAAGAAATATATTCTAGTACTTCATTTATCCTAAAATTATAATCCATTTTAAATTTTCATTTTTAGTATAAATTGAATTAAAACTGAAAGTGGACAGTAAAATCGGGACAGAAGGAATAGTCAGTAATAATCTTTACAAATCCCGTTATTCGCGATTTACTTTAAATTATTCAAGCCAGTTAAAAAAAAAATACCAAAGCAGCAATAGTGGCAATAAGGAACCCTTTGGGAGTTAAACGGATCCATCTTAATTGACTGACACCTGAAGTATTATCAATTCTTAGTGATTAAATTTTATATAGATTGGGGCGAATAATGGGAAAAGGACAAGAATCCCTAAATTATGTCCAAAGGACAAAATGTCCCCCGACATTTCGTATAAAGACAATAACCCCCTACCGCCAAGTCAAATGACAATTTGTCCCCTCCATTAGCAAATCTTAGTGTGAAAAGATTGAAATACCTTTAAATCTTAAAAAAAAAATTTTTACGCCAAACCTACCCTCCAACCAACTCGTTTATTTTTTAAAAAAATTATAGATTTTATGATCCGCCATTTTAAATCCGTCATTGACTCTGTTTTGATACATTATTTCTCTCTATCACTGCCGCCTAAACCCGAGATCGAGAATTTAATCTATCAAAACCATAAATTCTATTTCTATTTATCCGGATAAATGAAATTTATAGTTTTGATAAATTAAAGTTTTAATCTCGGGTTTATTTTTATTGAGCCCACAATGATTCTCTTAAGGACATCGAAATTCTTTCCCCAGTCAAAGTCACAATTGAAAAGCAACTTCTCCAGAACTTTTCCCTTCTGTAAGAAATATTCGATCAGATTAATTTCATCCTCCTGACCTTTGAAAGCTCCAATCTCGATCTGCTTCATGCTTGAGGATAAACAATACGGCACACCATTCAGTGATGACAAGAAACTTGCAAAGCCCTCATCATACATGTCGAAACCCTGATTGAGAAACGAAAAATGCAGGTTGAAGTTAGAAAAATAATAAAAGACGTATACTCTTTCATGATCACAAAAGAGATCCCACGCAAAAACCAATGTTGCATCGAGAGATGATTATATGTACCACATTCAACAGACCTCACGAATAACTAGAGTTTCAAGATTCGGAGAATTTTCAAGCAAGCTTCCCAATGTTCTCCATCCTGCCATACCCATACCTCCAAGTTTCAAACTCTTCAAGTTACAAAATTTAGGCATTGGAAGTGATAGATGGTCAAGAGCCTGTAATAACATTGAAAAGGCAATCGAAAATCATCATGCTAAGATCAAACAGAACAAAAGCCGGGAAAACTTCACCAAAGAATTGCTGAACTTGAGGAACAAAAAGAAATAACTAGAACAGATCAAAAGCTAAGGGAGCTAACCTCAATAGTGAAATGTCCCAATTGTAAAATCTCAACTCCGAAGCATGTAGTAAAAATCTCAGACAAGTTCATGTAACCATAGCCAGAAGAACCGTGCAGTTCTTCATCATAGGCTTCCAAAAGTCTGCTGAGAGGTATAACATGTAATTCTAAACAATAAAGCCGATCAAAATTACGCACGAATGAGTGAGATTCAGCAAGTATGCCAAGGTAGTGCAAGTAGTCAAGCTTCGGCGCATCTATGACCACAGTGGAAGTAATGAAACAACTCCTAATTATCAAATTATTCAGCAAAGGCATACAGATACGAAAGTTGTCGGTTACGATACTGCAATGACTCCATACCAGGGCTTCAAGCACATGGCATCCATCAAACAGCAGTTCCACAGGTTTATCGACTGGAAACCGGGCATAAGCGAGAAACAAGATCTTCAAATTGGGAAACTTGACAGAAGGAATTTTAAGAATAGAAGTTCCAACCAAGTACAATTCCAGTAAGCTAGTGCAGCCACTAAGACTAGCAAATAACTGACTAGAATCTCTGATTGAGGCATTAAGACAAACACTTTGGACGCTAAGCATAACAGCAGAGCGAATCCAAGTAGCCACGCAATCATCTTTGAATTTTTTGTCACAAATGAGATTGAACTCATGAATACGAGCGCTATTTTGCAGCAACCTCTTCAAAACCCCACCAACGAAATCTGTAAAGCTATTTTCATTCTCTTCCTCGGGCTCAGATTCAACTTCTTCTTTCAAATTTGTTCCTCCATTGGGATGGTGCAAAACTAAGGAATCATCGAAATCCAAATTAAGATTAGAGATCAAGGTAAACAGATTCTTCCACTTGGATGACAGAATGGAGGTGCCCACTGCATACTTTGTTGGGAGAAATGACAAAATGTGACACAGAATTGTGTCTGGCAAATTGCTGATCAAATCATCTCTGTTTTCTGGGTTGGGTTCAGAAAGTTTGGATCTTTTCGGTTCTTTCCGGTCTTCTGTTGATCTATCCATCTGGGCTGGGATTTCTGCACTGACAGGAACCATTCTAGAAGGAAAGCATCAGGAGGAAAAAAACAACAAAAAAGAGTCGCAAAGTTGGGATTTCTATGATTGAGTGAACTCTTTTACTCGGGAAATGAAGATGGATAGAAATTGCCGGTTAGTCAAAACTTCTCTTCTTACCCAAATTTTAGCGGGAAATGAACTACTGTAAACCCGCCAAAACTAAGATGCACAAAGTTACCTTTTCCTGGAGTTATCCAGCTTCCAGTTATAACTCATAATGACAATGAGAATAACATTTACAATTTATTGTATTCTTCATCAATTGTTCCACTTCATTCGTAAAACCATTTATGGAATCTATTTGGAGTCAGACGACGTGAGAATGTCATCGTACATGAATTTGGTACACTAGTTTGAATCATTTTACCTTAATATGAATAATATACTCATTGTAGAAAAAAAGAACCAAAAAAAAAAAAAAAACACGCACACACACACACACACCTACACACACACAAAAGTATGCTTGTTGAAGATTCTTTAGCGTCCCAAAGGATACAAAGATTTACAAATGATTGAAAAATGAAATTGTGATCCGATGTAATGGAATTTCTGAGAATGTGTACTAAAATTGATATGTGTATCAGTAATATAAACAATAATGTGGGTATGATTATTATTGATCAGAATGTGAAATTGGACTAACTCATTACAGTTCTGCATTCTGCTCATAACCAGGCACTTTTTTTTATGATTTGAGTTTATGATGCCCTTTGTGTTTAGGTTGAGAGTAGCGCACATTCAGTTGTCATTTTGGTTCACCAAATCCATTCCCGGTCCACGCATAATGTACTCCCAATACCGCACGATGAATTACAACGAACAATACAATCATTTTTGGAACGGAAGGAGTAAGGAGTACTATTTAGAAGACATGTGTACTTACGATGGCACAGATTGCAGCTTAATTAAATGTACATTTGATTTGCTACATCCTTCAACTTAAAGCAAGCGCTTTACCAACAAGTTAAACATCCATTCTCCAGCATTAGATAGATGATACTCTACCAACAAACAGCCGTTACCAGGTAGGTATTTACAACTCAGTCGAAAGGGCAAAAACATGCAATTGTATCAACAGTTTGAAGGCTGTGGGCCATAATCTTTTCACAAAAGATAGCAATTTGCATACAGCATCTAGGAAAAGTACCAAGTACTCTTCTCAACCGTATTTACTGCTTAGTGTTGCACTAATATACTTTCTTCCATTGAATTTGATCTCATCTTCCATTCCTGGCCTTTTCCAGGCTTGAGGATAAACAGTGAGGCGCGTCGTGGAGGGCTACCCAAAAAGATGCGAAGCACTTATCTCAACCGCACCGGATTTCCCTGATTTAGAAACGAAAGACCAAGTCAACAGAAAAGAGCATATTTCATGATAGCAAAGATATAGAAATTAAAGCAAAACCACTTTTTAAAGGTTAAAACTTAAAAGCATAACATTGAACAGACCTCATCAATGATTAGCATGTCAAGATTTGGAGAATTTTCAAATAAACTTACACAAGGACATTTAATAGACTGTGTCATGATGCATGTTGCCTTGACTAAAAGTTTAGAAGATCTAATGGCCATTGGAAATTCAAACCCGCAAAAGAAGCAATAACCAGAACAGGACCAAAGAATAAGAAAGCCAACCTCCAGAGGTTAGCTCCCCAAAATGTCAACTCTCAGCTTTAGGACACAAATTTCTCCATTTGGTTGACAGAATAGATGTGTGCCCACTCCATATCTTGGGTTTTGGGGGTTATGTTCAGAAATTCTGGATTTTGTCATTTGTTTGTTCTCTCCTGCTGATTCATCCTCCATCCAAGTCGAAGCAGAACGTGAAGGGCGTTTGAACCTTGAACTCTGGAGAATTTGGAGACCTTCTACATGACCGCAATTCTTCTGATTGTTTATAATATTGGGCTGAGCAGACATGTCTCTGTCTGACGTTCCAGCCCATAATTTTGTCGATTGAGCGCCGATTAGGCTGGCCTAATTTGTAATTTAGCCCAACACATTGTTTGCTTGATTTGATTTGAGGTTGACCCCAATAAATGTAGTGTGGGTTTTGTCTTGTATATGTTTGGTTTTATCCCATTTATATAGTACTACTAGTATTATTATGTTTCTTTTTTTTTTTTAATTACTACTTCCTCCGTCCCACAAAAATATTTCACTTTCAAAATGTACAACTTTTTTTTAATTAGGTCAACCCCACCAAAGTACAAGTCCTTTTTATCATCTGAACTTCCAGTTTTGCCCCGATTCAAAATTTATCAGCAAATAGTAAAGGTACTTACTTCCTCATTTTCCTCTTTCTTCTGAAATCTCAACACTGACAAAAAAAACCGAACCAACACCGACGATCAACTGCCAGAGACTATACCGCCGACGATTCGATCGCCGAAAACAAACGACAATACCTAGTATCATTGTAGTGTTGATCGAATTGGGGTAACCGTTGTCCGTTGGAGAATTGAAGTCCTAGATCTCCGTTATCCGTTGGCACAGAGTTGCTGGTGGCGGACGTGCGCAGACTGGAGATGGGGGCAGAAAGAAGAGGAGGGGATACGATGGGGGGAGAAACGAAGAGGAGTGGATGTTATGTGTGGGTGGGTGAAATTTGGGGAGAAAGAAGGGTAGTTAAGTCATTTAGTCTGTTTTAATTTTGACTTTTTTTAAACTAGGCTTTTTTTTTTTTGACAAGATTTTTTTTATCAAACTAAACTATTCTTATAGAACGGAGGAAGTATTATATTTTTTAATATATATATATATATATATTTTTTTTTACATAAAACTCTTGATATCCAAAACTATATTCGAAGTCGGTAGATGCACTTAATGAACATTCGCATGATAAAATAATACTTTTTTTGTCCTATCTTTAGAAAAAAAAAAATAGTTCACATTACAGTTTTAATAATACAGTTTACATTAAAGTTCAAATTGAAGATCTCAAAATTATTATAAAGACCATTGTGGATGCTCTAATGCAGCAGATACAGATATGACAGAACTATTCTCTAATTATTATCATCAGTAACATTGGGACATTCATTTCACTAAAATCCACCTCCAAATGAAACTATTAGTAGCCAAATGCTGAGAAATTAATGGGTGACAAATCCTACTACTCATATCTTGCAATGCGGAAATTACTTACGACTTACGAACACTTGTGAATAATAATAGATGATTTTTTGCTTTACCAATTAAAGTACTACATGAACAGTGAACACATTCATTTGGCCGGGGACTAATAGGAGTGTGGTTTGAGATATGTTTCTCAATCAAGATAGGAATAATGTAACACAACCTGATTTTACTTATTCCCCTCCAATAGTCCCAATCCATCCATCTTGTTGCTAATATTGATTAATCAATTTAGGATGGGAAAACTAGAAGGAAAAAAGGACGGCTGTTACCTTTCGTGTCAAAGCCTCTTTCTGTATCTAGCAGATAAACCAAATTAAATCGAAGAAGGGAAATACGATATTTATTCTTCTATTTTACATGAATATATATGTACTTGTAGTATTTTTTTTTTTTTCGACATTTCACATCGAAGTAGGTGAAGCAAAAAAAAGTACCATATCTAGAAATTTGAACATTTTCTCAAATATTACACTTCAAGTTCTTGTCACGTTAGATTAAGGAATTGTTCAACAACATAGTTTTGTGGTGAATTGATTCCATCAATACTGTTTTTGTCCCGTGAAAAGAGTCTTTCTTATTCAGTGATCTTAAAAAATAATAATAATAATAAAAATTCAATAACAATTTTTTTGGGACGGAGAAAGTCTCGACCATGATTACTTAGGTCCATGGGTTTACATTATTTTCCCTTTCTTCTTCTTGAGATTTCGTTAGTTGCTGATGGGCTTCAAATATAAAAAAGGAACCACTCTGCCAACCAAAAATCAATGCATCTGGCTGACTGGTTCTATTTGCCATTTTCCACGTTTGGTTAAACAATACCTCTCCAAACTTTTTTTTGTCAATTATTAGAGAGATATTTGATCGATGGAGCCATTATTTATATATTGATATAATTGACCCTCAACAGAAAATGTGTGCTTAAAAGAAAAGCAGCTGTCACATAAAATAAGACTAATTCATATTTGACCCCTTGTGCATTAATTCCACAATGGACTAACAATTAACATCAGCATATTCTGAAATTAATAAAAAAAGATTCCAATTTATTACGTATCAAACTGTCCAAGTACAGATTGATAATAGTAAGTTTTACAAATTACGGGTAATTTTGTTATATATTTTAACGTTGATCGCGGCTGATAGCGATGAGTGCCTCTCCGTATCTTATATGGATCTCATTCTCACGTATTAGATGCATAATTTATAGCCTAAAATACTGCCTGTTGATAATACAAGCATGATTTTTAATTTTTTTTTTTGAGATGCAGAGTAATAAAAATTTTACTACCTTCGGTCCTTATTATGAAATATTTTGATTTGTCTTAGATTTCACTTAATATGTATATTTAATTGGAATAAAAAATTTAAAAATAAATTTTTTACATTTATTATATTCTTCTAATTATTAAGAAATACCTTTAAATTTGTTTTCCAATTAAAAATACATATTAAGTGAAACATAAGACAAATTAAAATACCTTAAAATAAGGACCGGAGGAAAATGAACCTTAAACTTTTGAAATATTTTTAAAATACTGTAGTTTCATTTAGTTATTGAATTTCGTGAATTCCTTGCTGAAGTTTTATTACTTTGGTCGAACTCCTAGTAATTGGTGGTGAATAATTAATAAATATTAGGTTTTATGATCGCATTTTGGAAGATTGGAAGGTTCAGTGAATGCAATTGGGTTTGATTTTGACAAGAAGATTTGTATTTTACTATATTGTATTGGTAATATTGGAGTGGTATGTGACTCACCCCAAAAAGTAGTCAAATTTATGTGACTTGTGTCTATATATCCAAGAACAAGATGTTTCTCGAATCCCTA